AAAATTCAGATTGAAAATCAAACTGATAAGAAAATAAAGATCCTGAGAATAGACAATGATTTGAAATTTTGTTATTATGAATTCAATAATTTTTGCTAAGAATGTGGAATAGTAAGACATAGAACAGTTACTTATACCTCTCAACAAAATGGTATAGTTGAAAGGATGAATAGAACCTTGTTGAATAAAGTGAGATGTATGCTCTTGAGTTCTGGTCTACCTAAACTATTTTAGAGTGAAGCAGTAAAAACTGCTGCATATTTAGTTAATAGAACTCCAACAAGTGCTCTGAATTATGTTATTCCTGAATCTGTATGGTCAAGAAATCCTGTTGATTATTCACATTTAAAATTTTTTGGATGTACTGCATATGCCCATCAGAATATTGGAAAGTTAGAATCTAGATCACTTAAGTGTGTTTTTCTAGGCTATGGTGAAAATGTAAAAGGCTACAGATTATGGCTTTACAAAGAAAATGGCTATAAAGTAATTGTTAGAATAGATTTAGTTTTTAATGAATCTATTATACCATGTTTAGAAGGAAAGGAGAATAATTTGACTGAAAAAGATGTTCAGGTTGAGGTGGAGAAATTTCATAGTGAAACTGATTCTCATGTTCCTACCTTAACTAAACTTGATCAAAATGAAAATAGCATTACTGCTGAAACTGAAAACAATCAATCATCTAATACTGATGAACAAACTGATTTTGCAAATCCTCCCTTAAACGAATATCAGTAAACTAGAGATAGGGAGAGAAGGCAAATTAGAATACCTGCTAGATTTGACTGTGATGATTTTGTTTCACTGTTTACCTATCAAGAACAATTTGAAAATGAACCAAGCTCCTATGATGATGCCATTAATTGCAAAGATGCTAAAAATTGGATGGCAGCAATGAATGATGAAATGTCATTTCTTCTTAAGAATAATGCTTGGGAATCGGTAAAGAGACCTAAGAATCAAACGTTGATTGATTGTAAATGGATTTACAAGATAAAAGAAGGAGATGGAGGAAATAAATGTGTAATATATAAAGTTAGATTAGTTGCTAAGGGTTTTACACAGAAAGAGGGAATAGATTACAATGAAATATTTTTCCCTGTTATTAAGTACACCACAATCAGATGTATTCTGGCCCTTGTTGTTCAGCTTAAATGGGAACTGGATCAGTTAGATGTTAAAACTGCCTTTTTGTATTGTGACTTAGATGAAAAAATTTATATGAAACAACTTGTTGGCTTTATAAAAGGTGATTTTGAAAAAGTTGTATGCTTTTTAAAGAAATTTTTTTTATGGTTTAAAACAAGTCCCATGGCAATGGTACAAAAGATTTGACACCTTTGTACTAAAACTTGGCTTTTAAAGAAGCAACTATGACATATGCCTATACTGTAGAGGTAATGGAGGTAAAAACTCTTTATATTTAGTACTTTATGTAGATGATATATTACTTGCCAACTGTGATAAATCTGAGATTGAGTTTATTAAACTGAAACTTAAATTTGAATTTGATATGAAGGATTTAGGACCTGCCAAAAAGATTCTTGGTATGCATATTGTTAGAGATAAAGAAAAAGATATATTGTTCTTAAATCAACATGATTATGTGAATAAAATTTTAAGAAGGTTTAATATGCTTGATTGTAAATCTATTAATTTACCTTTAGCAAATCATTTCAACCTTTCTTCTGATTCTGCCCTAAATCTGCTGAAGAATATGATAGAATGTCGAATGTACCTTATGCTAATATGATTGGATATGTGATGTATTTGATAGTATGCTCAAGACCTGATCTTGCATTCAGTATTAGTATACTTAGCAGATTTATGAGTAATCCTGGGGAAGAACATCGAAATGCTTTGAAATGGCTTTTAAGATACTTGAAAGGGACATCTAACTATGGTCTCATGATTAAGTTAAATAAAGAAAGGGTAACTTTAAAGGGATTTACTAATTCAGATTTTGCTGGAAATAGGGATAATAGGAAATCAACTTCATCCTATTTTTTTACTTTATGTGGTACTGTGATTAGTTGAAAATCTCAACTTCAAAATATTGTAGCCTTATCATCTAGTGAAGCAGAATATATTGATGCTTCTGATGCCTTTAAAGAAGGAATTTGGCTAAGTGGATTACTAAAGGAACTTGGTTTTGTTGATGAAAATGCAACTTTATATTCAGATAACCAAAGTGTCATACATCTAAGTAAAAACCCCATGTATCATGATAGAACTAAACACATAGATGTCAAATATCATTTTATAAGGGATATAATTTCAAAAGGAATTTAGAAAATTGGGAAGGTTGCTACTCAGGTTAGTCCTTCTTATATGGGGACCAAGATAATACCTTTAAACAAGTTTAAAAATTGTCGAAGATATTATCTATTGATACATTGTAATTTTTTATAGGTACTTTTGGAGCGTATGAAACAAGAGAATGTGATATGCTCCTGGCTGCATTATGACTTAAAAACTATGGTAGCAAGGTGGAGATTGTTGTGACTCGGGCTTGATTCTTTGCGCTCCCATAATTTTCAGCTAAAGACGTTTTATGGAAATGCGATTTTATAAAGTGATCTTTACATTGGATGCTAACACTTGGCACATCATGAACCGTTGGATGAGTCAATTGGTCTTGGTGATATAAATACCCTTGGACGATTCGTTTGGCCTCAGATTTTTTCTTCTGGCTTTCCATTTTCAAGAGGGTTCATCTTCTATGAATGGCTAGGGCTTTCTAATTCACCATTATTTTGAACCTTTCATTCGAAATGATATCTTTGAAAGTTTTAGTCTTGAATACATGTGATTTCTTGTGTGAAATATGTAATAGTTGTGAGAACTAGTGTTCTGGGTTCGTGAAGTCATATTTGCAGTTTCTTATGTGATTCGAGCCAGATCTGTTGGTTCTTTGTGAAGAGATAAGTCTCTTATACTATATTCTGATATTGGCTAAACATTTGTAACCTTCATTACCAGTTTAAGGCATTATAGTGCAACCGAACAATATCCGTTCTTGAGTGGATGCTTAACAGAGGACTAGGTGTTAAAAGGATCATCAAACCTCTAGGGCTTTGGCCAAAAAATTCCTCTGTGTTCAGTTTTATTTTTCTGCAAGTTTTGATTTCTGTTATTAATCGATCCTTAGTATCGTGTGTTTAATATCGTGTTTGGGCTTTTCAGTTAGAATGAAAAAGCAATTGTTATCACTACGAAATTGATTAATTGAGAGTAAAACCATGGCCATTGGACAGTGAAGGACATTACAAAATATAAGTGCGGAGTAAGGAGTAACAACATTAAAAAAAATAAAATAAAAAATTAGAGTGCTTTATGAGAAGATCCTACCATTACCTACTGCCACTGAACCATCACCTGTGTATTGATCTTGAATTGTCAGGTTGGACAATTCATTGGTGATGTGCTAATTATCTCCACTAATTGCGATCCAAGTGGACTCTTCATGGACAGCATTGGTGGTGCAAAGGACAGGAGTGAGGTTATCTCACGCTTTGCTGGCAGCCGCAGTGTGGTGGTTCTATTCCTGAGACATGAAATTGGACTCCATATAGGCGCAGTGTACAAGCAGCTCTTGTTCCCTGGCCTGTTGGGGCACATCCCGCTATTTAGCTCCCTCACAAAGCTCTAGGGGCGGGGCGGTGGGGGCCCTCAAGGTTGGGGTTCAACCTTTTCAGCATTGGACTGAGCTACCATTGCAGCCAATTGAGTAGGAGGATGCCTTCCTTGAAGCTATAATCCATGCGGTGAAAACAATCAAGGGTAGCCCCCACAAGCATGGCGCATCGATAAAGCAGGAGGGTTCTATACGGAGTATCGAAAGTTCGAATCCCCGCAGCAGCTGAAAGACAACATTTATGTTGAAAGGCAATTGTCTTGTGGAGGCAAAGTTATGATACGTTTTGTTGCCCCTCCAAGGGTCCTGTTCGCATGTCGTAAAGAGAAGTCTACAAGGAGGGGAACCGCACCCCGAATGTCCGGTCCAAGTGTATATAAGCTGTGATCGTATCCGAATTTACTTGAGTGGCAAATCAGAGGGGAAGGCCACCACTCCTCAAGATTAAGCATGCGAAGCTTGGACACCTGAATTATCAAAAAACAAAAAACAAAAAATAAATACAATCAAGGGTAGAGTGACTTGTTTTCCCACATATCTGACATGGGGACTTTGGTTTTGGTGGTTGATTCCGATTGTTAAGAAAGAATTTGTGAGAACAGTTGTTGGGATGTGTTGGTTTCTTTTGATTAGTGAGACTCTGGGCAATCATAGCAAAATTTGGAGGTTCAACAGGTTCAGATTTGGATTCTGCTAGCAAGATCTCATAGATCAATAACCCGGCTTGATGATCAGAAAAAATTCATAGAGCCATGGCGGAGAGTGAAAAAACTGAGACAATAAAATGAGTATTAAGCACGAATGTTTAAACCGTTGTTGACATAATTAATAAGATCATCGTCATCGACAAGTTTTCCAACTGCAGCAACCTGGTCAACAAGAATCTTAGCTAATTGAAGTAACTCAGGTGCCAAATTGTTGATGGGTCAACATGAACCCAAACCAACCGTTTCAATTTGATTTTGCAGTTTATCGATTTCTTTGTTCACCACTATTCTTTTCGACTCCTAAGCGTAAAGCCAACTTTTACTTTTTGAGGGTCTCAAAGCCAACTTCTGGTTATTTTAAAGAAACCTAAGTTTAGAGGTGAGTCTCATCCAGAGGCAGGCCACTTTTGTTCAGACCACAATCATATTATTCTCATTCTGATCGTTTCGATCAGATCTGGTGTAGAAGCCAACAAAAATAAAAAGTATACGTACGAACTCAAAAAATCAATGGATTTTCTAGTGTACAGAACAGAAGATACAAGGCAGTTGAAGACGTCAAGGTTAACCAATATGTCAGAAGATTTAAGGTAAGAATGTCCCATTACCAGCCGAGAAATATTCACTTGCAATAACATACAACCAATTAGATCTACACAGCGGAAACGTACATGATCCAATGCTATAGTCCCAGTCGGATCGTCCAACATCAAACAGGTAGCTAACTTCCTGTTGCTTGAACCTTACATCAGCGAAAATCGCACTGCACCAATGTATTTTGCAGAAGGTGCAAATTTTCAAGAACAGAATTTTGAAAGCATATTATCCACCATTTTTCTATTTTCCGGTAGCTTGTTAGGCACAAGAAAAGTCAGGTTTAGAGCGGCACTCGAAGTTGTCATTGTATTTTCACAAGGGATCGGCTGGAAACACCATGCAACAACTTGACAAATCCAAGAAAGCTAAGCTTTCCATCCGTGTGTCTAATCCAGTCATGAAGAACAGCATGCACCGGAACAGATGGGCTCAAACCAAGCTCCTGGGACATTAATTCGATAATTCTAATCGATCACAAAAATGGGGGGAAAATAACTAAGCCCTGTTTGACAACCATTCTTTGAAAAAAAAAAATTCTCTCTCATTTTCAACCACACATTCTTTCAATAAAATATTCTTCACGTAAGCTCAAAACATTTTCCTACTTTTTAATTACACATTCTCCAAACAATTACGATTCAAAAATTCATTCTTTCGAAAGAATGGTTGTCAAACAGGGGCTAAATAGAGCTCATAAAAAAACTAAATACCGAAGCCAATTCCTCAATCATGATAGTCCGGTTGCCATCCTTCTCGAAGAGTTCATAGGCACAACGAGCATGTCGCTCCCACCGCTCAAGGGCTTCGAGCTGATGGACACTTAATGCAGAAGCACAGAATTCTTCGAAATCCATCCTTCTGTACTGAAGTGCATTAAGCTGCCAGGACATGGGCAAAGATCAATTAGCACTAGAAGATCCAAGAGAACAAAAAATTATTTGACCGAGAGCTTGTTTGGCTAAGCATAAAAAACAATTAGTAAGTTACTTATTTTTTGTTTCCAAACATTTATTTTCAAAATAACTCTTCCCTTGGTGTTAAAATAAGTAACTTATTTCCAATTTTGTTGATCAATTAAAAGTTATTTATTTTTGAAACTTGCTTATGACTTAAAAGTTCACTTATTAAACCAAAAATGATCACAATAGTCAGAAAAATACCGAAGCAAGAAAGTCATATACGAGAGACTCTTTCATGGCATCAGTTGCATTCTTTGTCAAGGCCTGAGAAAGTAACACATATTGAGAACATGTTTGAAATTATGATTAGCAAAGGATTATAAGAATCTAGAGAACACAAACCGCTTTGATATTATCGAAGCTTATGGTGCCATTTTTGTTTGGTTCCAGTAGTGCAAACTGTTCCTTTAAATAGAATAGCTCCTCTACAGTCAATGTTTTGGACAAAGTCTGCAAAGCCCAAGCAGAGAAATTAATACATCGATTATAAGTGCAGTAAAAGAATTAATAAGTTCACAAAAAGTAAAAAAATTATCTCTATACAAAGTAACAAAAGGGGAATGAAATAGCATAAGTGCAATCTATAAACGAAATCTGTCATCACTAAAATGTAACCAGTAACTAGCACGCTTTCCAGTATCTTCTGACCGTATAAAAAAAGAAGTATATGTTCTACCTATGGGGCTCACAGACTAAATCACACATGGTTTCTTTTCACCATAATCAGGTACTTGACAAGTTCTAGAATTACAAGGTAAACATACAAGTAATTTTCCTAGAGTCAATCATATTTCGTCACCACCTTCATCGACCAGAAGCTTAAGTTTGCAGGGGACTTGTGCAAGATATTTCTCCCTCACCACACAAAGTTTTGGATCTAATCCACGAGAAGTAAGAACTCTACATACTTCGACGCAAAGAAATTTTGCCTTATACGAAAAAGATGTTAAAATCCACGTAAAAATCATAATTGCTGATATCGGCCTTTTGAAAAGGGAAATCTTATATTAAAATAGACGCAGAAACAATGTGGATAATTCAAGTGTCAAAGTCAATTTGATTTACAAAAAGAAGATATCAATTTGTACAGTACGGTTTGCAGCCACTTGTCTTCATCCTGGAATATCATTGAGAAAAATGCAACAGAGGCATTTTGCTATAAAAATAAATACTCACCCTTAATGCAGCTTTCCGTAGTGGAGATGAACGCATATAAGCTTTCATGAGTTTGAATACGAGTATATCCAAAGGCACTTTGATATCATTACTATTTTTTATCCAAGGATGACCTGTAGCAGAAGACTTCTTTGAGTAACCATTCAAATATATTAATAAAATATGTATACACACGATTTATGCACAACAAGATACTCACACATTGCTTGAGCTGCAGTCATTCTTTTCCGAGGATCCTTATTTAGTAGGCGTTTAACAAAGTCTTTTGCCTCCGACGTTAGAGCAGGCCAAGGTTGTTCTTCATAAGATGGTTCGGCTTTTACTACGGCACGGAAGATCCCGGACTCAGTTCGAGCCCAAAATGGGCGGCTTCCGCATAATAATATATATGCTATAACACCGATACTCCAAACATCAGCCTCTGTACTGTATGCTCTGTGTAGTACTTCGGGTGCTACATAATATGCACTGCCAACAATGTCATTTAGTCTTTCATCTGCAAATAGTTTAGGATGATATTGTTTAGCTAGTTTAATGGTTTACCTTGACGTAAGAGAAATTATCGACACTATTAGCATGTTTGATAGCAATGACTGAATAAGACTGGACAGTACTAAGAAAAGAGAACCTAAAATTTTGATCATTATACCATCCAGTCTTTGTCCAATAGTATGTTCCAAACATGGACTATATAGATAGAGGATGAACCTGGTTTCACAAAATCTGATAACCCAAAGTCTATGGCTTTCAATTGTGAGTTTTCATCCTTGCATGTAAACAAGAAATTCTGATCCAGCAACAAGCTACAGTTAGGCCAAAACATGGTATAAAACGAACAACAGTTGCTAATTCAACATAAGAGAACGAAAATGTAATACAGGTTTCCATTGGAGATGGATCAGCAGTTAGCAAAAACCTACAGCAAACTCCCTCTGTCACTCCCTCTCTCAGCAAATAGCAAAAACCTACAGCAAATTAATGTCTCTCCCATACCATCTGCACCTCTTATTGATAATAAGACTTCAACTATTCTAATTACTAGTAATGCATATACAATGTCTTCTTTTCCAGTGAATCCGTAAATGAAATAGTTCATGCTTTGGATGGCTAAATATTATAAACAAGAGAAAAGGTTTACATTTTAAGTCAAGTACAAAATTAATATGCCTTTAGAACCTAAAAGTATCCCCTAATATATTTTACCTCTGGTTTAAGATCCCGATGCACCACCCCCTGAAGGTGGCAGAATGCAACAACGTTCAGAATCTGTATAATCACAGTTTTGGCATCATCTTCAGTGTATTTCCCACCCCTGCGGCAAAGAGACAACAATTCATTTTCTATTGACTGCTGGAACACGCAATTTATGTTTTCACTGACAGTATCTGAATTCAAAAGGTTCAAAAATTAAAAACATGTATCGCCAAAATCAAAGACATGCCTTGAAAGTATTCTATCCAAAAGCTCTCCTCCTTCACATAACCTGAGAAAGAACGTCTGTTAGAATAACTGAGAAAAAGCTTATAACTCAGTGAAGCTTATACATCCAACCAATATGGTTGTAGCATTAAACGAATTACTAGAAATTGAGGAATATAAGCCAGAATTAAAATTAAGAAGTCAAAGCTTACTCCATCACAATATAGACGTTATCGTGGTCCTCATATGCATCATAAAATTGTATTAGATTGCTATGCCCCGTCAAGGCTCGCAATATTTTCACCTCCTTTCTTACATCTTCAATAGATATAGCTGTGGTCATCTGTAGAAGTGAGTATAATCACAATTAAAGAAAGATACTACAGATAAGAGCCAAAACCTGAGAAGAGTCTTATAATTTGACCAACAGCAAGAAGACAAATTATCTTTCATATAGTACTAACTACTTGACCCAATTACCAACTCAATATTCTTAAATAGTTGAGAATCACGTTACTACCATCAACTGCAATATTTTTCCAGTAATACCCAGTTTGAATATAATAAGATTAATTACAACACAATTTGAGATGAGAATTAAATGAATTAATAAATTTGCAATTACAATAGGCAGCTTTGCATACTATTCAATATTCATACATCTATATATCCTATCCTATTTGGAAAAATACATGGACACCTGTATGAACTATGAACTCAATATGTTCGTCAATTAGAGGCGCATCTCCAACGATTTCCTTTAATCCATCAACATAAACCTTTCTTGAGTAAGGTCGACACTTGTGCGAGAACCCCTTCGGCAGCAAGGGAACTACAGCCTTACTCCACAGAGCAAATATGCTAGTTTAACCCATCATTAGTTTCCATTAATTCCTCAACTGCTGGTTTATCTACCTGTGCTCCCAACCACATTTGTGGTCCACTAAATGTGCCCCCGAATAAGGGCCTTCAGCCACCATTATTGCAAGAACATTTTTATTACCATAAGAAGTGAAAGATACAAAACCTTGACACAGATAACCTGTTTTTTTCAATAATCTGAGGGACTCTCGAGAAGTTTCAAGCTTCCATCGTCTTAAAATAAAGAAAACCTGTAAGATTACAAAAAGAAGATCAAAAGCATTTTCATCTTGACTTATAGCCGTCGGATTGAAATTATTCATCTACAGCCTGCAAGACCAACAAGCAGCTACTGGAACAATAACATAACAGATATTCTCCACCAAGTCTTTGATCCAAGCACCAATTGTATTCAACCACAGAAACTAATGCTAGATCTAGTCCTCAACCATCAGCAGCAATTGGAGGTCAATTCCCTTCTACAAGAACCACCATCTCTCCAAGATCACATTTTAAACTTTAGCAGTATTAACCAAAAAAACTCACATGGATTCGCTAACACACCCATTTCAAATCCGTAAGACTTCACGATTAAAAAAATAAATAAAAAATTATAACTTTCCATACATAATGAATCACATCAAAACATTCTTGCAGTTGAAAAATCAATCCAAATTTTTAAGAAATGATTCAATGAAATCAAATAAAATTTATTTATTTATTTTTATTATTATTTATTTTTTCAAATTTTTTGAAGCCAATATCACTAAGATTTGATCTATTTTCCAGCAGATCAGATCTCCAAAACCCATTAACTTGCTCCAAAAGATGCGAAAAATGGCATAGATCAATTACAGAATATTTACTATAAATTTAGTAACCTGAACTGTCAGCAAAATTTGAAAAGAAAGGGAGAAAAATCCAAACCTTCGCTTTTGGAATGACCTTAACAGCAACCTCCTGTCCTTTAAGCTCCCCCTTCTTGAAATTGGCCTTACAAGTATACCCAAAATGGCCTCTCCCCACTTCGTCTCCCAGCTCATACTTGTTAAAGAAATTCTTCGAATACCCGAAATTCTTATCCAGACCCACCCCCGCCTCCACCTCCTTCCCCTCCGGTATTGTTGCCTCGTTCGGCTTCACTGACCCGTGCCGCTTTGCTAGCAGTGCCCGAATGTGCTTTGCCGGAGAGGGCGGTGGAAATTTCCCTTTAAAAATTCTCCTCGGTGTCCAGCTCCCCGACGCCGGAGATCTAGCCGGAGACTTCTTCGAGAAAAAATAAGCTGGGCTCGGGCTGTAAAATGGAAAAAATTGCGATTTCTTACTTACTCCCAAATCCTCCATTTTCTCCTCAAAATTGCTGGGATCTTTATCGCTATTACCATTAACATTATTATCCCCAGACGGTACATGGCTATCCTTAATCTGGGTCGGAGTAACACCTGATTCGTGAAAATTACGTTCCTGAAAGGATTTAGATTTGGAAGTACAAATTCCCATATGAGTTTATCTTTAAGAAATATCTTATTCTATTTCCCCTCCTTGATTCTTCTACTCCCAGTCCCAGAACCCACAATTTCTTCTATACAGAAACTTTATAGTTCAAAAGTTTGAAAACAATTTCTTGTAAAATATATATTTATACGCGAGGGACTTTACTATGAATTCTTGATTGGAATGGAGAAGAAAAACAGGGGAGAGGATCTGTTGAGAAGTTGATATAAAGTAAACGAAGATGGTACATTTGTCAAGAAAATATTTTTATTTGAACTCAAATGAAAAACAACATGGATTTCGTTAAAGCAAAAGCAAAAATATCAGAGAGGTCCCCTATTTATTGCTCTTGTTGCATTTTTGTCTTAACCTTCTAAATTGAGCATCTGGATCTCTCATTTTCTACATCTGTTTTATCCGAACCCCCTTCCTCGACCCCGCCATGCGCCTAAGGCAGTCAAACCCCATGCCGAAGGCCGACGAACATTGCATCAAATGTGCCTACCTACATTCGTAAGAAAAGTTCTAGGGAAAAAAATGTAATGAGTGCAACATGAAGTGAGGGGAGAGGATCTGTTGAGAAGTTGATATAAAGTAAACGAAGATGGTACATTTGTCAAGAAAATATTTTTATTTGAACTCAAATGAAAAACAACATGGATTTCGTTAAAGCAAAAGCAAAAATATCAGAGAGGTCCCCTATTTATTGCTCTTGTTGCATTTTTGTCTTAACCTTCTAAATTGAGCATCTGGATCTCTCATTTTCTACATCTGTTTTATCCGAACCCCCTTCCTCGACCCCGCCATGCGCCTAAGGCAGTCATACCCCATGCCGAAGGCCGACGAACATTGCATCAAATGTGCCTACCTACATTCGTAAGAAAAGTTCTAGGGAAAAAAATGTAATGAGTGCAACATGAAGTGAAAAAAAAACAAAAAAAAAAAAAAAAAAACCTTCGAATGGTAATGAATCATCCGAAGGAAATGTGTCTTTCACAACACAGGTACAACGATCACCCAATCCTTCTAGTGATTTCAAATTCGTATTAAACCCCTATTTGGCTCAGATTTTAATATGAGTCAATGTAAAAAATATGAGTCAATGTCGAACAATCAATGTTAACTACATCTTTCATGAGAATCACAAATTTTTAACCATATATTTCAAAAATTTCTATCAAAATGTACTAAAAATTTAATTTTAATCCCCACCAAACACTCTTTAAACTAATTCACAATCCTTGTGACAAAGGGACATTTAAAGCACAAGTTATCATGGGCGGACCGAGAATTATAGTTTCAATAGGGAGACAGAAAATGGACTAAAATAAATTGTGAAAGAACTAAAAAAATCTGAAAATTTAATTTTAACAAGGTCCAATCGAATGTTTTAAAAAATTCAGTGAGAGAGGTCTACCCCACTCGTCTCTTAGTGGGTCCATCCCAACTACTTATGATAATTATAGTAAGAGACCTGACAAAACAAAGACTTGAAGTCAAAATCAGCACGATTTCCTTTCAGGAAGAAATTGAGAGCAAAAGACATCAGTGTTACATGTCCTAGGTAATCTTGAAGATTCTAATTTTGGAAATAATGGTGGAAAAGAGTGCCAAAATCTATTGTCTAGAAAAAAAGAATGTGCCAATTTTCTCACGTCGATCGCTAGGATAATGTTTGGAAAAGGGTCTTGATATTGACTAAGAAAATTAAATAGTCAAATGATTGAATAGGTTATTAAAATAAAAAAAAATAAAAAAAGTTTGAGGTCGATTAGCCTGTTATTGTCTTATTTTGAACATATTTCATTTTTTCAATTATTTTATATATAATTGAATAGGCCCCCGTTTGGCCCCCTTTAAAATTCTTCAATTTAATTTAATTTTTCTCTCTCCTATTTTCAACTACACAATCTTCAATAAAATAATATTACACGCAAATCGAAAACTTTTTAACCACACGAGCTTCAAAAAATTTACTATTCCCCCATTATAAATTCAAATAATGGGGGCCAAGCGGGCTCTATATTTTAAAATTGGTTTTTGATTTTTCATGGTGGAATTCACTCGTTCAAGGTTTTCAAAATATTGATAGATACACATACATCATAGAACCTGTAAGTGCTAAACCACACTATATTTCACTCTTATACTTTTCGGTTCTTAAAGCAACGATCAACATATTAACTGCACGTGCGCACTTGCGGAAATCATAGAAGACAAAGATTCATAATCTAGTTTGATCAAATTATCCAAGTCCAGGAGGGTCATGGCAACTAAAAAAGTTGCACCATAACCTTGAAGAGAGGTTATTACACAATACGGTCAAGAACAACTGAACCGACAACTCAATCATCCACATTGTGCGCAAATATCTCAAACCCTCTTCCCTTCTCTAATCAACTATATTTAACTAAGCACTCAATCCAATGATCTATCAACTAGACCTTATTACCGTAAGAGAGTAGAAGAAGATCAAAGCCAAATATGGAAAACCTTAAGAACCCTAATATGAAAAAAGCAATCACAAATCAAGTTGAGAGTAAAGCGAATACTAAAATCATGAATTTTTAAATAACCCTCGCAGAGTTATTAGTCATAATGATAACAAAATACCTCATTTTCATCTCTCCTAGCCCCAAATTGGATACGATTCATTGCCCCATCAAGAATCAGGCGATGATAGAGAACATGGTCTCTACTTAAAGTCATATTTTTTATTGTTCCATTTTTATAATTAAATTATATTGTCCATAACCTTTTGTTTGTTACAAGCCATAAATTTCATTAATGAGTCGCGTTTATTTAACTCATATAAAACATATTAAGCCCGTAAATTTTATTAATCAGTCACGTTTTTACAACACATATATACACGAACATATTAAGCCCTTTTTGATTTGATTAAAAGTCATATTTTTAATAGATTTTAATAAAGTTGTAAAAATATGTGGTTAAAAATCAGTTTAGAAAAATTGAGCTAACAAAGTGGGGCCAATACGGGCTAAGCAAAACGAGAAGGTTAAGGACTAAAATGTTTTGTTTCGAAAATTGGGGATGACAATACAATAGGAACAATAAATTGGGCATCTCTGCTGCTATTTTCGGTGAAGAGAAGGGGGAATTGATTAAAGATGGTGAACGCAGGTGAAAATGAATTCGTGTTAGAACTTTTGATAAATTATCTATTTGAGAGGCGGACAGGTTTGTGTTTGTCTGCCTTTTTAGGCAATAAAAGTACGAAATTAGGGTATATAAAAAAAATTTAAAATCATTTATGAAAAATTAAAATTAAAATTTTGATGTCATTTTCATTTTTAACTTTTTTAGTTAATATAATATTAAATAAATTTTTTTTCCCATTGTAAAATGACAGATCATAAATTTTCAACTCAAAATTTGCACGCAGGCATACCACATTGAGTACAGTTATGTAAGGTCATTTTATCTTTAACAATATGAAACAACGAGAACTAATGGCAAAGAGCTTATGCCATTGCTTGTTCTCATTATCTTCGACATAGATTTCTCTCTCTTATTTTCAACTATACAGTTTTCAATATAAAAATATTATAAACAAATTTAAAACTTTTCATTATTTTTTAATTACACATTCTTCATCAAAATATTATTCCAAAATATATTATGGACAAAAAATGAATATCAAATAGGCTATATATATATATATATATATATCATGCAAGATAAAGCCCTTGTGTGATGCCATTATTTTTCAAAATATATTTTTCTCTGTTCTTTTCAATAACACATTTTTCAATGAAAATAATATTACATGCAAATTTAAAAGTTTTTCTTACTTTTCTCCCAAATTTAAATCAGTTGGTGAGGATAGATGGAGTGCCGTGGCAAAAGTGGTAAAATAAATATTGAGGAACACACGATCGAATTTTTGTTGATTCCAAATGAAAATCGAAACACGATCACCTTCTAGTTTCTATTGATTCCTAAGAACATAAAAAATTTGAGCATCAAACTCTTTGATTTGCTCATGATTACAGTGAATTGGACTAGTTAATTTTTAAATATCGAATATGAGAATTTAAAAATTGAAGAAATCTCAACAATTCAAACTTCACTCTTAATTTTCATGACAATATCATAAGTACAGATAAAACTTAATAGAACTTGTATCGACGCTGATATGACAAAATGTAAGTAAATCAGTTTTCTTCTTTTTATTCCATCTTTTAACGATGTCGCGTCATATGTTGCCTGTAAGATTTTTTTGTCAAAAAACTATGTACTTGTAGTATTGTTCTTTTCATAAGGCTTATAACTCATATTTAAAGCAGTAAATAAAATCTAGATAATAACTGAACTTTTAGATTATGCCTAACTCTAAATAATGATAAATTAAAGATAATAACTAACTCTAAATGGAATTAAAATTCTAATT